GGCTATCTGCTGAGGTTTGGGGAAAAGAGGGGGAGGAGAGGAAATAGTTTTCGTGTTTGCCCCCCACTCTCAACCTCCCTTCAGCCCCAGCCCAGGCCTGGGTGTGAGCTGCAACTGGAGATTTCAGTTCTGAATTTCACTGTTACAATATTCTGATTCTCAGCCTTGCCTGTTTCCAAGTAAGATTCTAAAGAACCATTTTTTCCTGTGGTTGGTTCTTTCTGTTCAGGAGCAGAAGAGACCACGAAACCTTACTGAATGGGCAGAGAGGAGTGAAAATCACTATCCTTCCAGAATCCAACAAGGATGTTTGTGAAGGGAACCCTGGCTTGAAAAATCAGGGCAGGGTGCAGATTCTGCTTTCTGCCACCAATACTTGCCTGGTTCTGCGTTACCTCATCCACTTCAAGAGGCCTGTAGAAGTGGGCTTCTGACCCTGTTTTGGGGCTTCTCTGGAGGGAAAACAGGTCTGAGGATCCCAGGACGATAGCAATCCACTATGGCCTCAACTAGAGGGCAGAGGAGAGGCTGGGCCGGTATGCAGGCTGGGGACAGTACGTAACAGAGGCAACTTGGCTTATGACCCCAGTCACCAGGGGTCACCTCCAGGTCATTCTCAGGGTCCCCACTCTCCACCAGGAAGGAGCTGTTTGCAGAGTGAGGACAAGCCACTGACAGGCCCTGAGCTCCTCCCGCCACAGATTCCTAAAAACAATAGTTAAGTCCTTAGCCCAGCGTTAGGGCCTTACGCCTGCCTCCTGTCCCATCCCAGTGTCTTACCATAATTTGGGGCACCTTTCTCCATGCTGATCACCAGGGCCATTCCAGAGCCTTAAGAGCACTGCCTCCTCGGGCCAGCAAGCAGCGCAAAGCTGAAGCCTGGGCCCCGAGAATCGCCTGCCCAGTTTAAGCGCAAAGGCGGGGATGAGGAGAAGGCCTGGACTGCACGGGGAGAGGAGCTGGGAAGCATTCTGGAATGTTCCTCATCGGCTTGAACTTCTGGTGCAAGGACCTGAAGGAGGCAAAGCGAGAAGGCGGCAGGGAGGACGCTGAGGTTGTCCCCTCTCCCAGTTTCCAGGAGAACGGCCAACTCAGCCCAACAACACTCCTCACCCAGTCCTTGCCCTGTCTGTCTGCGGGGCCTTCGCTGCCGGCTGCGGCTGAGGAGAGCTGGGCGCCGCGCTCCCCGCGCTGCTGGGGGTCCCCGCGCCGGTGCGCGCGCAGCAGGTGCGCATGCCCCGCCGCAGCGCGCGGGTAGCTGAGGCGCGTCCTGAGGCCCTGAGGGGGAAAAGTCTCTCAGCGCTGGGCCCCGCAGTCCCAGGCCCCGCAGTCCCAGGCCCGAGGCGGACAGACTCAGGGAGGACGGTGAGCTCAGGTACGGCGGCTGCGGCGGGGACGCAGCGCCCCTTGGAGATGCCCAAGACACCGCCCCCAGCGCCAGGAGACGCTGGTGACGGCCACAGCCCGCGCGCCCCAGGGCCCAGGCGCCACCTCAGGCGCCCGCGGCCCCCACAGGGGGCTCGAATCCACATGGACTTTGCTTTAAGTTTTCCAAGAGTACTCCCTAGGCTAGAGCAGGGCTATCAAAACTACCTGCTCTGTTGCCCCTCTGAGGGGGACGCTCGCGTAAGAGGGACATTCAGCCCCCACAGCCTGTGCCCTTCACCTTGAGACCCCTCCCCCGCCCGCTGGAGGCCTCAGGGACCTTCTGTAGGTTAAGACCATCGGCTCCAGATCATTTCATTTTTACTCTATTAATTTTCCGGCCCATTTTCCAGATCTTTCCACCACCCCGCCCCCCCCCGCCCCCCCAGCTTAGGCCAGAGTCAGAGCAAGCCGGAAAAAGGGAAAGCAAAGACGGAAATCCATAGAGCGTGTTTTACAATCTTTATGGGAAAATCTTGATACGGTTTGGGTTTTCCGTGGTGTGGTTTTGAGGGACATGATAAAACAAAACCAGTCGACAGAGCAAACTTTATCGGGATTGCCCCCGACAGCGCCAGGATGAGGGTCTTGTGTGCGTTCCCGGATTTAACCCAGTTCGGGGCGAACCTCAGGCACTCAGGAACTGTCTCGAGGGGACACACTTTAAAACGACTAATTTCAGGAAGGATCCCTTCCACGTAGGGCCTTTTTCTTACGGGGACCCTCGGTGAGTGAGAGTAATCAAGTGAGGCAAGTTATCATTAAATCTTTTAAAATTCAAAAGAGTTTACCTCTCTCCACCTCTCTTAGGGAAGGATTTATTAATGTCCAGAGAACTGTGTTGAAACTAAAGCCATGAAGTCAGCATCTGAGACACTCAGATTTTTTTTAAAAAAAAAACAATCCTTTTTGGTAGAACGGGTGAAAACATCTGTGGTAATCCTTCTAAGATTCGACCATTTAAAAGGTGATATTCGTGTCTCTCTATTTTCAAACAATGAATTCAACATATTCTTTCATCTGCCTTTTAAAAATGCATTTGCTTACTTAATTGTGGGGCCTTTTAAGGTAACACATTGTAAAGAGGGAAAACTATTAAAAGATAAACCTGCAGTTTCCACTTTATGAAATGAAAATGATCCCAGAGGCAGAGTTCATCGGTCAGCTCTGTGCTTTGGTAGGCATGTGCAGAACGTGGCCTGAGACTCTGGTCTTAGAACAATCTCCCCACACACAAGGCAGGTAGGCTCCCTTGGCCAGACTCTCTGTGACTCTGGGCAGTGCAGAGACACATGCTGACAGTCTGTGACCCGTTTGCAGGGTGCACTGTCCGTGTTAATTCACTGTACCATGCAGGTAATGAGCCCTTTTTAAATCTTCCTTGGAATATCAGTGCACACGACAGTGCTATTTAAAGAATACTGTCCAATTGTTAGGTAAACAGATCCAAGTGTAAGAGGCTCTGTGCTGTCAGACATCTGGCTTAGATTATATCATCATGGTCCAGCTCAAAAATCTCCTCTCTTAAGCCCATGGGAGACCCCCTTGCCCCCACCCACCCTTCCCCAATAACTGGTCTGGTTCTCTGAGAACAGAGAAACCGCAGTGGCTTTTGGACTCTCTTCAGGTGTGCAGACAAAATCCACCCCCCCCACCCCACACCTTTAGAAAGTAAATGCATTGATAACAGGATGGGTTCCCCAGGTGGCCAGAGAGTAGAGGTCATCTTGAGGAAAATGACACCAATGATCTAAAAAGGACATCTACTTTATGAGATTTCAGGCAAGATGCCAAATATCGCATTTAATGAGGCCTGATTTTTTTTTCCTCCCAAAATAACGGAGACTATCAATGATATGGTCAGGAAGGCAAAGGGGGCATTTTGCAAAGCCTACATCCAATTATTGCTTTGTAATATTTTTCTAAAATTGAAAAATGCCTCATAAGTATATGATCTCATGTAAATGTTCCTTTGCCGAAGCTTAACATATGTTTGCAATGCCCCAAAGGAGTTACAAAAATATTCTCTCCACAATCTCGTAAGCTTTTAAACTCTATTCACCTGAGTTTCTAAAAGAATCTGTTGTTTCTGAAGATTTAAAAAAAAAAAATGTAATCCTATAGGGGAAGTTATTTATTTATTTATTTTAGAGATTAGCCATCTGAACTTCAAATGGAGAACAATTGGTATTACTGATACTCTTCCGGGTTTTATAATTTCAATATGTTTCTTTTTTATTCTTTCTTTTTATTCTTTCATAGAAATAATATATTAGGTAAGAGGTTAATTAGTGTATACTAATACAAGAAAAACAGTAGTTTGTCCCTTAAGATTTGAAAAGCATTTCCAACATGAAATGTGAGTGAAGGCACCTAATATATTTGGGGCAGCTTCAACAGATACAAGGATACAAATTTATTTGTCCCAGTGCTTTGGGCATAGTCTTACCATTTAGATAAAGGGCATTTGAAGGAATTAGAGAGTGAAAATTTAAGTAAAGAAAGATTATATGTTCAGTTGCAGCAGCCTAGAGAATTCAGCAGGTGCGTGAGCACAATCTATTTGTTCACACCAATTGCAAGGTAATCCAAATAAAAGTGTGGGGGATTAAAGAAAAGTAACTGAATATCCATGTTGGGGGAAAAAATTAGATTGACTTAGTAGTTTATCGCAGTTATTGTACACAGATTTGCTGTGACCATGTTGAATTTTTTAAATTAGATTTTAAATATATTTTGACAGTCTGAACTTGTATGGTGTGACTAACTATAGGAAGAAATGACAGGTCTGCTTTGTTATTAAACTGCTGTCTGGAAAATATTGGACTCTGTACAGTAAATGATAATTATTTTGCCACTTACATTAGTACAGCTAATAGCAATAAGGGTTTTTTGAACCATAGAGAGCTAACTACTTTGAATTACTGTGCTTTGTTATTCGCTGTGAAGCAAAAAGACTTTTTTTTTTTTTAAGCAGCCTCATTTTCATATCACCATTCTAAGCACTCCCCGCTACTAATTTACACGGGAGAAGAAGTTAATAAATAAAGGGGCGGTATCTAAATGGTTCTATTTGTTAAAAGAACATTTGCAGTTAAGGTCAGCAGTGCCAGCAGAATAGACCAGGGCAGCCGAGGAGGAGGGGAAGGATGGAAGAGAAACGTGCCCTAGCAAATTGTCCTCGGGAGCTGGGCTGGGCCAGTGTGGTTCTCTGAGGGACGGGCTGTCTGGGAACACTTGGGAGAAGCCCACCAGAAATGATTCGAATCCTCCCCTGCTATGAACCCGGAATCACTTGGATCCCTTTGGACTGAGGACAGCCTCAGAGCAGATCCAGGCTGCCAGCCCCTGGGTAATGGCTACCTCAGCCTCCCAGTGGGGAAGAAACAGTTCAGAGGGAGTAAACCATGTCAACCCCTCCTCTGCAAAAGCAAGTGAAACTACATCATTCTTCCTCTGGTCTAACGCTGTCCTTTTCCATAGATTGTTAGACTGCCTTTAGCATACTGTCCGTGAAACATTCTTCGTGGTGATTAATTTACCCTTTGTTTATTTTAATATATTTACTAAATCAGGTACCCAAGGGAATCCTCTACATCAGTGATGTGAGAAAATCCAGTTGCCTGAAGTCCAAGAGGTACATCTTGATTTTTGATTTGCATGCGCTTGCCAGAGTGAGTTTTTCGTGAGGGGGGGAAAAGTAAACGGAAGCACGTAAGGAATGCTGCTAATTCTGTAGAGGAGAGAAGTTCCTGTTTTCGTAGCGTTTGTATTCGGGTGCCACATAAACGGAAGCCATCCATGCATTTGTATTCTGTATTTATGTCATTACACAAACATGGGGTAGAGAATAATCTAATGTGAGTTGAAATTAGACTTACTGGACTGGAGTCTATTGGACACTCAAAGAGCTAGTCCTTCAACTTGAACGACAGACGATTTGGGTGAATCTGTGTAACTAGCAGCCATATTGCCCTTGCTCACATTGACCTGGGCCTTGTAAACATTGCAAATGTTGCAGTCACATATTTACATTTGGAAAATTTAGTATAATTTCCAAGCACAGTATGTCCCCTGACCTTCTGCAGCCAAATGTGACAATGGATTCAATCCTCACTTCAATTGTAGACAGAAGGGGAGAGGAGGAGACAAGTGGGAGGCAGAAATCTGATTTTCATCTGCTAAAAAAATGAAATTGAGCTATTTAAATGGGTTTTCAGTTACAAGTATCCCAGCGTGAATTTAATTATGAACTCTCTTCTTTTGGAAAGCTAGACCAACACTCTTACACCGATAATTACTTAGTGTCATGGTTTTATGTATTCTTGTCACCTCTTATTGGCTAATGGAACATTTTTTTTTTATTAAAAATTTTGCTTGCTGAGAAATTTGCATGAAATACATTTTTTGGTTTCTAGCTAAACTGAGGGGGGCAAAAAATCACACTGTCAAATTGCTACTCTTTGCAAAGGAGGCACTTTAAGGATCCAGTGAACAGAGAGAGCATTGGAAAAACAGAACCCATTTTTCCCACTATTCCAAAATAGTATCTGATTACTTATTTCTACATGGTGCTATGATGAGAGTTTTGTGTTGAATAACTGGACTATGACTATTTAGTATGATTTCTTTGCTAATCTTATATAAAATTAACATTTTATTTAATAGTTCCCATGCATATATTTTAATGCAACGTTTGCCTTTGGGGTTCATTTGCGTGTCCAAATGTATGCATGCAGTTTCAATACATTATTCCTTTCTTGTCCTTGTCTTTGTAATTGCCATTTGAAAACCACCTATTACATGTGATGATTTAAATCCACTGGCAAGTTCCATGACATTGAGACCATCCATTTTTGAGCAAAGAGTTAATGAACTTTAAAGGCAAGGTTCACACTGGCCCTGACCTCCTGGTAATATTTCATATAAGGTTACTAGTGGGAGAAAAATCAAATTTCAGCTGTGAACATGATTGACAGGTGAGAGCAGGGAAGAGAAAGGCATTTGATCAGATAGGGAATTTGGGGAGAAAGAGGACAATTCCTTGAAGTTACTCTATGATATTAGATATTATAAGCTGATATATGAAAAGTTCAATACTTGGTACTCTTGGGAGAGTTACTTAGTTTACTTTTTTTTTTTTTTTCCTGGAAAGTCACTTTGGTTAAGGGATTTCAGCTAGGGAAGCCAAAAATGGTGAGACACTAGCTTTCCTGCTCTCTAGCTCATTTCAACCATGTATAGCTTTGTGGCTTATTTTTGGCAATTTTTTAGGCTAGGGTATGACAATTAAATCACAAGCCATTTAATTACCTTCAGTTTATTCTAAGAAACACAGTCCAGATTATATTATGGTTCTTGGACATATTATAAAATATTTATCCCGAGTGGTATCAAAAACAATTAAAATTTCCATTTAGGTAGCATCGCCTGATCCTAACATTTTCCGTTAGTGCATGTGGCAGTTTAACATATGCAAATTGACCAAAATGCATGCTTTATCAAGATTGCGCCTTTTCCAAAAAATGTGTTCTATCATGAAGATGAACATAGACAACAATTGCGCACGGCTTGTACATCTTTCACCCAATTTGGGGATTTGACGTAAACTTTTTCGTGGTAGCATCATTGCCATGGAAACGTGTGAAGATGTTGCTTGACCCTCAGGCTAAGGTGGCTTCTGAATTAGCCGTCAAGGCTGTCTTCTAGCTTGACTTATCACAAGCAGACAACGCAACGACCCATGGCGTGCACCAATGTGAAAGTAGGCCTCCAAAACATGTTCTTGCATCTGTGTGCTGAAACACTGATTCGGAGGTGGGGACAGACCTTAGCCTGCTCATGTCTGTGCTCTGCCTGTTTCAGATGTTCCTGACATTGGCTAAGACCCATCTGGATGCAACCAAGCCTTACAGAGCTGCCTCAGGGCAGGGCAGGGGGACACAAATGTAGGGGAGAGGCCCATTTGTAGTTTTGCTGTCACCTATGGGAGAAGCTTATGAAACTTGTATAAACAGCACTTCCTGGTACCCATCAGTTTTTTTTTTTTTTCCCCTAGTCTTAAAATTGACAGAGTGGACATCTTTTATCCTGACTGTACCTGTTCCGATGATACAAATTCAGAAAGTTGTCAAATGTCAGGAAGTCCTTATTATTTTATGAACCGGAGTGAAAACCAACCCAAAACAGTGAAAGTGCTCAGAAATCTTGTTTCTAATTTGCATACCAGTCCTCCCATGTTGCTCATAATCATCCAGAAATAAAACACAAATGTGGTTTCCCAAATGCCCAGTGTTGGTGTGGGTGCCTTAGCACAGTGTGTGTAGCTATTTCGTTCAAATATAAAAGTAAAAAAGCCATTACCAAGTTTCCCTTGCAGAACCCATCAAAACATTTTAACAGAAAGGGTGAACCAGGTGTTCCCATGCAGAGGACATGTGAAAACTCAGATTGTTCATTCTGATTTCTTGGTGCCTCTGTTTAAAAAGCCCAGGTGACTGGTCTTGACCCTGTCTTCACTGCAGGCTGCTCAGAGGTCCTAAAATACCCTGTTTTTGTAGTAAATCCCCCACCCAAAAGACAGGAAAGGAAAATGCAGTCTTGCTTTCGGATTTGGAGCAGGGACCAATCACAAATTCCATGAGTATGTCTCAAGCAAGTTACATCAACGTATGCTCTGGCACTGAGAAAATAAGGAGAAACAATTCTGTTTTGAAGTGTTTTATCATTTGGACTCACCCGAATTGTTTTTTGTTTTTGTTGTTTGTTAATTTAGATTATCCTCTCTAACCAACACCACACTCCCTTCCCTATATAGGCTGCCTGATGTTTCTCTTTCTGTGGGCACAGGCCTGCAACTGAGCTTATTTAATCAATTAATTATAGCAGAGCAGGAGCAGGGTCACTAGCCTAACGATGCCGTACGAACTCATATTATTTGCAGTTAACTCTAGTATACCATTGAAGGGCGCAACTTGAAACATTATGCATCTAGCGAGGGGGAAAAAGAAAGAAGGAATTTCTGCAAAAGTGCAATGCTCATTACTTAAAATAATGCTTCTGTAAAAAGAGCTTTCGTTCTAAAAGCACACATTAAGTCACCTGCCAAAAGCTCAGATTTACTGCTGCCGTTCAGAGATGCCAATGTTTAGACTCTCTTCACCTGCTGCTTGCTGAGTCTTTCATTTGCTCCATCCAAAAATTGTTGTAAAGTTGTTGTTTTGTGTCTGCAGTTTTTTGCTTTCTCTGGCACCTAATGAAATTATCAGCAATAAATGAGCTAAGCAGCAGGGTTGAGTTTTTCTGTTTTTTTTTTTTTTGGTTTGGTTTTGGTTTCCATTTTGTAATATTTGGAAAATGCTAAGATGGGTATTCCAGTGGGAAACGTCAGTGTGCCTCTGCTTCCTGTATCTACAAGCTATAAGGTGTTAGTACTTCCATAATTTCAGATAGAAACTAAGGGCCAGTGGAACGGGAGGGACCACTTTCAGATGCAAGGTGGGAAAATCAAACCAGCTGGGGGTTTGCAGGTATTGGCAATGGAGATAAGATATTAACACCTAATTAACAATGGGGAGGGGGTGTGCATCCTACAACTTCATCATCCCTGAATGAGAAGGACAGTCCAGAAAGAGAGGTGAAGGGAGATTTTGTTGGTAGGATTTTGTTTTCTCTCTCTCCCTCATCATGCAGCCTCGAATCGTGTGGTTTTTCACATGCAGCTAGTGACGATTTCTTTTTAGTCCTCTCTGTCTATTGAAAAGCACAGTAAGTTCATTTGCTAGCAGGTAGGCAGTGGAGGTGAGAATTGAATTGATCTGAAATGCTCCCAGAAATTGACCCTGAGGTCACTCTTCCTTTAAATTGGGTTCTACAGACAAAGTTTCTTTTCTTCCTCCCTGGCTCCTGCCCGCTGCCAGAAGCAGAGTGGAGTTGGGGTTTGTAATTATTTAAAGAGATTCTAATGCCAGGGTTGACTCCCCTCCCTCCACAAAGTTAATCAAAATAGAGACCTTTTGTTACTGGTGGTAGTTAATTAAAGGGCTTGCGTCTATACTGCTGTGGTGTGCCTCCGGCTTGTTTATATTTTAAAATGAGGTTCATTCCTGATATATGGGAAATGGGGGAGAACACTAAAGTGAGGGTCTCTTACTGGGCTGAACGTTTTATATAGGAGAATGGAATTTTCTGTTTATTTTCTTTTTTCCTATTTCTGTCTCTTTTTCATGGAGTGATTAGAATCCTTGCAAAAAAATCTTAAGGTGCTGCACACTATACATTTAACAGTGTCTGAAATCATGCATTGCCTTTTAGAAGGCGTGTAAGCCTGCAGCAAGAGATGCTTGGCATCTCTCTCCCCCTAGGCAGCGGGGAGAGCCAGGAGACATCAGAAATTCCTTTACCCGCATTGACCTTTCTGACCCAAGCTAAGAACTGCTTTCTCATTCTTTGCTCCAGTGGGTAGCGCATACTTGAAGTTCTATCCTGATGCTCAAAGGCTGTTTTGTTTATTTGGTATTGGTTTTCCCTAGACTTTTAATTTTTCTTTTTTTGTGTGTGCTCCTTTTAAAGCCTGGAACAGTTTCTCTCCCTTGCCTGGTAGAATGAGTGTGAGAAGCGCCTGGGCTACACAAGCTGTATCAGGCCTGTTTGGAGGTTGGAAGCTGGATCCGTCCTTGTAGGGAAGGAGGGAGAGTTTGTGATGGGGACAGGATTTCTATGTGCCATGGGTCTGGGGCTGCTCAGCTGTCCAGGTCTGAGGGCGCCCGGCTGTTCTCCCCTCCAGCCGCTCGCTGGACATTTAAAGCCCCCTGTGTCTCATTCTTTCCCCGGACTCTGCCTTTCCACATGCTTAATGTTCTACTGATCCAGTGGAACCACCCAGTGAGAATGTTTGTAACTGCTATTTGCGAAGTCTGACCTCAGTTTAGTTGTCACTGATAAAGTAATTTATAAAAATGTGATGTGTCCCAAACTCTCTAGTCTCGGGGGCGTTTGGGGAACCTCATTATTTAGAATATTACATCTTTTTGCTCTGATCCTTGCCTGCTTGGTAGCATCCTGTCAAGACCCCAGTCTGAGGGTGACAAAGGCTGTGGTCTGTGGTCATGAAACAGCACATGATCTGTGCCATAAACCATCTCTGCAGTTTTGTGGACGAATAACACGCCCAGCTCCCGAACCAGGCTGTTAAGAACGTAGTAGGAGAGTTTGGGGACTTGGCCTCCCGGAGAAAAGTGCAGAGTGCAACTTGGTTCTTGCCTGAGAGTGGGAGGTTTTGCAGAGGTGTAGTGAAATGTCACCCTGTTCCAGAGAGGAAAAAAATAATAAGGAAGAATTTGTGTTTATTTTTTTCTTTCTATTTGATTTGAGCCAGCTAATATCAAGAATAAAAAAACGTGCCATCGCTGTTGCTGAGAAACTTTTATTCTCTAAGGTAGTGGTGCGGAGAGGCAGGGTAGGGGGTGCGGTTCCTGCTAGGTGGTTCTTTACTCCACATTTTACAGGGCCGTTCAGATCCCCCCCCCCTTCAACATCCTTTCCTTCCACAATAAAAAAGGCACCTTCCCATGTTTGCCACGGTTAACTGATGACATTTTCACTTTGGGAAAGACGAGATCCTAGTGTGTGATTTCATTGTAAATTGGTCAGGAGCTATTTGCAGAGCTACAGAGGATGCTGTTAGTCTGAGAATGCATCTTTTTACTAGTTCTTTAAAATGTAATTGGGATTGGGCCACTGTGTGATTTCGATTCAGGTGCTTCTTTTTTTTTTTTTAATTTTCTTTCCTTTTTTTTTTTTTTGTTATTGCAAACAGCAATAAGGTGACTTGTAATTTATAATCAAAGTTTGGTATCGTTAAACTAAACTGTAAAAACCGACTTTGGGGCTTTGCTCATAAAATAAATATTTGAAAAAATATAGCAGTGAGGTTTGTACAGTAGAGGCAATGTCAGTCTATATATATATATATCTGTGTATATGAATATATATGCATGTGTTTTGTTTCAGGCTGTTAAAGCTAGTCCGAAAAAAGCATCTTCCAAAACTGTGACTTTTTCTGACATCCAAGTAGGAGGATACACTGATGGGATACTAGCACATTTTCTTTAACAAATTTCTAATTTGTCACCTAAACTCCATTCGTAATTCACCTTCCCTTATTTTTCAGTTATATTATTTTTGCACTGAAGGATCTGAGTGTGCATGCTAGAATTCTCCATCTGTAAGCTATAGTACTCCTTAGCTTGGAAGACTTTTTTTTTTCCTTTCCCCCTAACAAGGAAGCTCATTTAGAAAGAAATGTTTATGTGAAGTGCTTGTCAGTTGGCATTTTTACTGGTTTGCTAACCCAAAGGTAAAATATAAAGCCATGTCTTTTCCTCACTGGCTTGTTGTACTAGAAGGGTCCTCCCTTGTTAGCTTGATAAATAATTTTACTAGGGGGACTCTGCTGTATTTTTATGCTTGCTGTCTATTTTCTGCTTGCTGCAAATAAATTTCTGTACTCAGAGGGCACTAAAACTCCAAACACATGGTATTTTCCCATTTTGCTGCTGGTCGCCTGAAATATTTATTCCATCTAGTGTACTTAATTAATTTTTTAAGGAAAAAAATAATTTTTGATTAAGATCAAACCCAAATTATTCATATCTTTCTCAGGACTGTTGGAAGGATAGCTTTCTGAAAGGCTTTGTCCAACCTCGTCTAGTATTTGTCAAACTGAAAACAAGTGCTTATTTATTGGGGGAGTCCTAAAGTTTTCTCATTATATATTTCCTTGTCTGTCTTTTCACCTTTAAATATTAAGCTGTTAATATGGGAAATGAATCGGGCTATAGAATTCTATCTAGAAAGAAGCCACTACACAACAAAATGTTTACATTTGAAAAATAATACATGGTGTGAAAGTGGAGATGAAATTGATCACAGGTATCAATATAAATGATCAGCATTCACCTGAGGCTTAGGTATTTAGCCTTGGGATTCGTTAATACCGAGGAGAACTTGATGTGGCTCTCTGGGGCAAAATTGGTCCCTGGCATGAACCTAAACAAACACACCCCGAAACATTCCAATAAAATAAAATACAAATCAATGTATTTTATAAATTATAAACACAAGGAACATAGCACATTATAGACATACGATGAAATGTTTCATGAAGGAATGAAATTTATAAACGTTGGTAAAAACAAATGATCATTTAAAATTAATGCCAGATTATCTAATTAATTGAAATATGATATTTTTTTTCAGAGCAGACATTCTGTTTGTTATTTGCTACGTCTCATGTGCTCATAAGCAGGGTTTTATTTTCTGAAATTCAAAAATATTTTTATGAAGGGACCAGAGACATACATTTGAAACCAGAGTGCCAGCATATGTAACCAGTGTCAAGGGTTTTGGAGAGATTTCAGAGGTTATCTGAAGCTCAGTTTTTCAAAGGTCACCAAAATGAAGAGGAAAATATAGAAAAAGGGGTCAATGAACGAGTTCTAAAATATACATGGAGATCTACAGTCAAGATTTAGAACATTTTATTTTCTTCAGCTTTGCACCATAATGTTTTAACCACAAAATTTCATTATGGATAGACTTCTAGTGTTCTCTTAGTCTACAATTATGAAGACAATTACGAGAATCAGATTTTTTTATACTTAAAGAGGAGTTGATAGTTAGCATTTCTCCTGGTCACTTGGGAGCTGTGCAAGTTTGTCAGGAGTTAGAGAAAACTTGCATGGAGATCAAGACCAGGAAGTCCTACCCAGCCCTGCCTTTCTGAGATTGCCCAGTCTCTGTGGGTCATGATGATGACAGCTGCCATGGATAGGGTATCTCCTGAGAGCCGCACCTATGCCATCTTTGATCCTTACAATAACTAGAGGGGCAGATATTTTAATCGCCTTTATACAAATGAGGAAACTGAAACACAAAGGAATTAAGATATCAGTCGACCCTACACGACAGTCATGTAGATAGTTCTAGACAGACATAATCTCACACTTGGCTTGGTCAGGCAATTCCTTCTCTCCTCCTCAGGTAAACAGCCCCGCTTTTTAACCTCCACACATGTGGTATGAGCCCAGGAGCCCTCTCTTTCTTGGTCATCTTTTTCTGAGTGTAATTGAGTAAGGCCCAGAAGAAAATACATATAATCTGTAGCTGTGACTTCTTGTGGTCTTGGCCCCAAAGACCCCTCCAGCTCTGAAAAACAAATGATTCTGTGGTTTGATTTTAGTAGTTAATGGAGTAAGTACCATTTTGTACTCAAACAGATAAAGATTGT